CTGATGTCATTTTGGTATTGTAATTGAACCGAATTGACCCGGTGGCAGTTGTTTAAGGATTAACTACTAGCTTAGCTCATGCTATCCAAGGCTTGAAGGGTGGTGTTGCGTTCCAGTAGAATTGCAATTGCTGTATGTTATGTTTAGATAGGTTTGCAAATGGACAAGCTAGACTTTGTCCCTTTTGCCGAGCTGCTTTTGTTTGTTCTCTGATATATACAATCTATCGGTTCATCAGGGTGGCTAACCTGTCAGCTTGCTTACCATATTTTTCAGTACTACAGACGGCGGTTGAGGTGATGCATTTGCAGCTAAATATCTGACGGTACGAAAGAGCAGACTTTGTTTGGCGTCAAAATTTGTATTTAGCTCTGCAGTTTCAGAAAAGACGTATACCTGCAGGTTGGTCAATACTTGACTGAAATACTGGGAATGCCTACTTGTCCTTAAGATGTGTATGTATATACCGAAATCAAGGTAATACAGCAGCAACACATCCATCTGCGCAGATTGTTTGACATAGGACATGAGAACTGTAACACTTTCCTTAAAGAAGACGTAGCACCAATCTGGTCCGGACTGTCCCACCCACGCCTGTAGCACCAAGCAAATGGACAGTCACTTCCACTGCAACTCTGCAGCTCACCTTGGAGAAGAACAGGGCCAGGCAGCTAAAGATCTAGTATCTTCGAAAACATATCTCGGTAGCAGTCACTGTCCGGGCCCGTGCGCAGCAAGAATCATGCCGTTTCTGTGGTGCACATCGTCTCAGGAGCTGTGCTAATATCTTAGTGTAGTAGGATTCCAGCTAGCAGGACCTAACCAATGGAGCCCATTGCCATTTGTTTGCTAATGGATGGATTTGATCAAGCTTGTGCTGCCTTTAAGGACAAGGATCTGCTGCTCTAGGAAGGAAGGCGAGGCCCTCTAGGGCGAATGTGGCTGGATCCAGTTCTTTGTTTCTTGCAAAATCCTATGTTGTTTTGTTCGAAGTTAGGACTTGCACCCTGGGCCTACATCCTGCATGAGCGGGCCCTGAATTTCAGTTAAACGAAGACAAAAGATCAAGTGAAGACAGCACCTCATCACCTAATGTCCTGATGACACACATTTCATACAACTACTCTCATTCAGATACTACTTGGTTCTACAAGGTGATCAATTTCAGACCTTTATATGTTGTATGTTATAAGCAGTTCAGTTATGTGTCTTATAGGTTGTACTCTGTACAAATACGCTTGTACAATCTATGCCTTCGGGCATTCGAGGCCTTTACCACTGATGCATATCGCGTTTGTTCTGTACAGGTACAAGTGTAGCTTGTCCATTTTCCAATGCTTGCTAACGATGTACTCCGTATGATGTATCGTGGATTACTACACTACACTGCTGGCTATGCTAGCTCACAAACTCGTGCACGACGCCGTTCACCTCGATCATGCTACACCCGGGAACCTTGCCGACGCCGGCCTCCCTCATCCGGCTCCTCAAGCCGGCGCCGCGGCCGGGGTCCCCGCCACGTGCCAGCACGCTGGCCGCGAGCACGTACGCGCCGCTGTCGCGCGGGTCGCACCGCACGGCCTCGCGCGCCGCGCGCGCACCCAGCTCGGCGTCGCCGTGCAGCCGGCACCCGGAGAGCAGCGCGCCCCAGACGGCCGCGTCCGGCGCCATCGGCATCGACCGGATCGCGTCCTCGGCCTCCCGGAGCCGCCCGGCGCGGGCGAGGGCGTCCACGAGGCAGCCGTAGTGCTCGATCCCGGGCTCCACGCTGTGTTCAGTGGCCATGGACGCGAACGCGGCCCGAGCCTCGTCGGGCATGCCGGCGTGGCCGTAGGCCGTCAGGACCGCGATGAAGGTGACGTTGTCGGGGCTCAGCCCGTAGGATCTCAGCTCGGAGAACAAGGCGATCGCTTCTCGCCACTGCCCGTGCACCGCCAGCCCCTGCATCATGGAGTTCCAAGACGATAGCATGGCCGAGCCTTGCGACCTTGCGGCGTCGAACACCTGGCGGGCATCGTCTACGGAGCCGCACTTGCAGTACATGTCCACCAAGGCGGTGACGACGAGCGCGTTCATGGCGACGCCGTGGCGGTCTATGTACGCGTGCACCCACGCGCCCTGGTCCAGCGCGCCGAGGCTGGCGCAGCAGCCCAGCACGCTGACGAGCACGTTGGCGTTCGGCTCCACGCCGCCAGCCTGCATCGCCGAGAACAGCGCCAGGGCCTCGCCGCACCTCGCGGCGCGCGCGTACGCGCTCACCATGGCGCTCCACGTCGCGACGGTCCGCTCCGGCATGCCGTCGAACACGGCGCGCGCCTCGTCGACGCGCCCGGCCCTCGCGAGCGCCACGATCGCGCTGTTGCACGCCACCGCGTCGAACTCCGGGCACTGCCCGAACAGCGCCAGCGCCTCGTCCGCGCGCCCGCACGACGCGTACATGGCGATCGTGGCGTTGCGCACGTACGCGTCTCCGGCGAGCCCGAGCTTGAGCGCCATCCCGTGGAGCGCCGCGCCGTCGCCGGCGCGCCCCAGGCGCGCGTACGCCGCGAGGAGAGATGGGAAAGTGCGCCGCTCGGGCGGCGTGGGCGAGACGAGCATGTCGACGAACAGCGCCACGGCGGCGTCCGGCCGGGCCCCGTCGGACAGCGCCCTGATCACGGTGTTCCACATGAAGGAGTTGGGCCTCGGGTGGTGCCTCACGAGGCGCTCCGCATAGGATACGTCGCGCCCGGGGCCCGCGCAGAATACGACGGCGCGGCTGGCGGCGATGGGGTCCTCGGCGAGGCCGGACTTGACGAGCGCCGCGTGGAGCTGGCGCAGGTGCGCCATGGAGGCGCATCGCGTGTGGAGGAGCGTGAGGGCAGGGTCGGAGGCGATGAAGGCGGAAATGGAGGCGGAGGAGGGGAGGAGAGGAGGACGACCGGTGGTCGAGGTGGGCGGTGGGCAACCGTTCAGTGGCGCCATTGCCATCCTCTTCTCCACCTCGCTCTCGCTGCTCGTGTGGTTTTGGGGTTCTGCGCTACGTGTTTTAGGATAAGGTGCCTTTACTTGGGCTGTTCTTATTTGGGCTATTCAATTAGGCCTGGTCAATCTAAGTTCAATGGTTCCAACGACTCTTTACTCTATTTATTTGGGCTGTGCTTATTTAGTTATGAAAAAAGTTCACGTTACCTTTCTTAACTTTTTCGAAAGTCTATTTTTCCTCTCTAAACTCTAAAACCGGGTTAACCACCTCCCTAAACTTTTAAAAATGTTCATTTTACATCCCTGATCGGTTATAAGCGGTTTTCTAAGATGGTTTTGTCTTTTCTTTTTTATTTATTTCGGCTGAATCTCCAATTTTGTTGGACTCCACATGAGTAGATCTACACAATGAACATATAATATGTTAGAACAATTTTTTCGTTGTAGCTTTAGATCTATGTTTTTCTATAATTAATTCATAACTGTATTTTCTATGGTTCAATCGTGGTGAAATTTTTATGGTGGGCTAATTATTGTATGCTTGAACTGTAGTAAAAATTTCATACTCATTTAATCATCTATAACTTAGTTAGTTGTAGCTTTAGATCTATGCTTTTCTATAATTAATTCATAACTTAGTTATAACTAAGTTATAGATGATTAAATGAGTATGAAATTTTTACTACAGTTCAAGCATACAATAATTAGCTCTCCATAAAAATTTCACCACAATTGAACCATAGAAAATACAGTTATGAATTAATTATAGAAAAACATAGATCTAAAGCTACAACAAAAAACTTATACTAAGACATACCATATTATATGTTCACTGTGTAGATCTACTCATGTGGAGTCCAACAAAATTAGATTTTCTATTTTATGATTTCTCTATGATTTACTATGATTTTTCAAATATTTAGTCAAAATAAATAAAAAAAGAAAAAGATAAAACCACCTTTAAAAAACACTTATAACCTACCAGGGAGCTAAAACGAACGGCTTTAAAAGTTCAGGGAGGTCGTTTATCCGGTTTTAGAGTTCAGGGAGGAAAAGTAGAGTTTCGTAAAAGTTGAGGGAGGTAATGTGGGCTTTTTTCTTTAGTTATTTGGTCTATTCTTTTAGGCCTAGTCAATCAAGACCATGTGTTTTGCTAAAAAAAATCAAGACCATGTGTGGATTGGGATGGAATTTACTCCCTCTGTTCAGTTTTTTTTTATGAAAACAGGAGGGGTTTTAGCCCCTACTGGAATTAATTAAGATTTGTGTAAGTCAAACTAGCTTAAGTATAATTAAGTTTATTTTGAATAGTATTAATTAATTTAATAATTTTTCTCTAACTAGATTGACTATGAAAATGTATTTTATAATAAATTTAATGATATTTAGTTTGTATCATAAAAGTTAGTACATATACTGATATACCTTTAGTTAAACTTTATAAATTGTTAAACTCTTTTAAAAGTGAGAATTACGTTCTTTTTAGGACTCATTCCATCTCAACTAAGGGCTAACATAATTTGCTGTCAGACCTTCTTGGGTAAGTACGATATGGCCCCTATGCTTATAGGAAACCGTATGAACATCATATGTCTGTCTACGTCAAACCATCGTAATTCAGACAAGACATACCTTCTTTGTCACAACAAAGAGTCAGCTGCCATCGCACTGATTATGTAAGTTCACACGGCATGGTAGAATAATTTGAAAATTAATAGTACAAGGATCACAGAAAAGTTAGGCATTTGGGTTGGGTAAAGACCAAACAAACTGATTGCCACAACAGAGTTGAGTTCAGTCTACAGAGAACATGTTAGGGCAAAGCTCGTCACTTCTGCATTCCAGAGTTCTGTTCTCACTTCTCAGGTCATTCCTTGAGTCCTTCACACAATCACACCTTACACGGAGCTTTGAATGTCATTCAGAATCCTCGCCTCAAACGGATACTGGTTATGGTGCGGGGGACAAAAACGATATACACTTGAATCGTAGCAACAATTGCCTCGTGTTGTTTCTCTTAATATTATTGCCCAGGATCACAAAAACCAGCATTTGCATCTGCGCAGATCTTGTGGACCTTCAAACCACCTATCCCAGGACTGATTCATAGGTCCAGTAGATCTGCAACAACAGGGGGAACCAAAAAAAACAAAGAAGGCAATATTGTGAATATATCACTTAGATTCAAAGGCAACATAAGTAACTTTTTCGCTTCTCTTACACAGGAAGTAGAGGGTCAGCTTTCCTTTCCATTGCTGTTAGAAACCTGGACACATAAACAACACAGTCAATCTCCAACAAGCACATACAAATTGCCTTCAGATCATAAGCACCGTAGCAAAATACTCGACTTAATCACATTTCTTCTGCAGGTGACACGTACTCTTGCAATGCAGATGATACCTTATCTGCTTTCTCAAGCTCTTCAAGTTCCTCCTGCATTCAATCACATTGGCCATATCAGTACTTAAAAACTGAGAACACCACTACTTTGGTAACAATGGAAGACTACAACATCCTAAATAGTAACTACATCTTTGCTGGTTGTGCATAGTTATATATTAAGAAAAGAAAAAACTTTGACAGGTCTGATGATAATAATGTCCAGAACGCAGAGGAAATGTAGTCTATAGCACTGATATGAGAAATTTATTATGTCGTGAATCAGTAATGTGTAGCTTTGTCTTGCCTATTTGCGTATATGTTCTGAAGCCAGGGCATATGCTGGACATTCAGAAACAAAAATGACAATTGAAAATGCTCTTTATATATACACAAAGATGCTACATCTACAAGACGGGCCATGTGGACAGTAAATCAGTAATCCAATCTCTACCTGAATGGAAATAATAACGGCCGAAAACAATGCTGACAAATCATCACAATTTGGCAAAAAAAAGGTGAAGCTTGTGGTAAGTTGTCTATATCATAATTAAAACTAGAGGAATCCCTACAAGGGATCCTGAAATAATCATGTTATATTTATACAGTAGCTTAGTTTTAAACACTGAACTTTGATATCTCAGCAATCATTTTAGATTATGCACATGAAAATTCAGTTCAGTAGAGTGAGATTCAGTATTCCACGTTCCTAACAGTTTAGATTATATCTTAGTGCCATGTAGACGAGATAGAACACAGAAGACAAAACGTTTGATGCACAAGTCATATATGCCTAGTCATGAAGAATTATTTATTTCAACTAAAAATATTAGAAGATATAAAGATAACAACATCCTGAATGAAAGTGTAGTATATCCCACCAAATTGAGAAATATAATATTATTTGATTTGGCAACTTCCGGCTTCTTCTGCTGTGCAAATAGCTGCCTCGCACATTTGACATTTGGAGAATGGGGGTGGGCAGTTAGAAACAAGGCTGTGGACTGTTAACAGGATGGCCCTTATTTATATATAAGATAACACGTATTCAAAGAAAAAATGATAAACAGATTAACAGCCTAGAAAACAAGCTGCATATTGCTATTAATATAATTGAAATTTTTTCAAAAAAGGTTGAACTACCATCCATATTGGCATTCAGAGAATTGTCCAGATGAACCTGAAATAATAGTAGCATGATCGTAGTAACTAGGTATTAAACTCTATTAGACCTTACTATTATTTATAGAAAGTACACAACTAACTCAGTTAAGTTGGGTCAAATATTATGAAGGTCAATATAACATTTATTTTCTGAAAGGTCTGATGATCTATTTGTCAGAGCAAGGCTGTTGATTAATAAATAAAAAAAAGAGGGAGCAGGAGTGACCATGCTGCAGTACTACATGCTTTGAAGGTACAGTACGTCCTTCACTTTGATGGCATCTGCTGCTATTTTTTCTGCTTCCTAGAAAGACTGCAGCTAGTAGATGTCAAGACAAGGATTTCACCAAATAAGAACTAGGATGCTATTAAAAGTTATCAAGACTCGAGAGTTTTACATGCTTTTGAACTTGCATGAATCCTTTGGCACCTTAACATTAATACTTCGGCCAAAAAAAAACAGCAATGCCAAACAAGCAAACACTCATGTGCAAGATATGCTCCTTGCCCAACCTACCAGCTTACGATAGGACATTGCTGAGCTAGCATACCAGCTTTATGACAGCACATTGCTGAGCCAATATACCAGCTTGTCAGTTGTTATTAGCTATTTAGCTTCACGGCTCAAGCTTCAGAACGTCAAAGATAAATAGATAATGTATAAATGGTAGTAGGCTCTATGCCTTTAATAAAATCAGTTTCGCTGATCTTGCTGCTCAAGTATACTTATTAGAAAAGAAATCTTTTAACCAACACTGCTATGTGCTATCCCACAAATCAGTACTATATTAAAGTACAGTTACAGAGACTGCATCTCAGAAACTAGAAAACAGGTTCCCATGCCCACAGGTCCCCCCAGAAAGGAGCATCACCACGCCTCATCAGAGGTTTCAGTCTTCAGTACACTGTCCCCAATCATTTGATGCAGAAGAATCAGTTTCGGGTTTTCGACTACAGACCGCAATATATCCATAAAACTACATCTAGTCGGACAGAAAAAAGAGCTACGTGCTTGTCCCCGTCAGGGAAAAAAGCCCCACACAATGGTACGGAAAATGAATCTTCGCAACAAGCAAATTGTTGCAGCAGGACAAGGCAGCAAACATAGAGCACATGGAGCATGCACATGCACATGGCTGCTTCTCCCTGCACCTCCATGAGGAAGGAACGCAGGAAAAACAACACGGGTCTTGGGAAACCATGGCAAGAAAGGATGTCCCTAACTTCCCATGGCAATTATTTCCTAATGGGTCATAAGTGGGAGAATAGGAATCTCGGAAATTATGCCACGGATTGTTCTAGACTGGTCTGTATACTTTGACCATTGGGCTAAAAAGCAGCATGCTTCGCCGAATTCGGTGGGATGAATCGCCTACCGCTGCATTTCGGGAGATCACACCACCATTTTCAGTTTTTCTCGCTGGTAGTGCCGTGGTGGTAAGCACAGAAAGAAGTCCTCTGAAAAGGAGTTTTCCTTTTTGCGATGATTAAAGGACTTTCTGTTTGGAACACAGCAAGGCCAGCATAGTACGCACGCTATGGATTTGACGAGACAGGAAGTGAGTTTACGAAGGAGTGGAGTGGAGGCAGGCGCACACACCTCGAGGAAGCGCGCCTCCTGCTCGAGCTTCTTGAGCTCGGCCTGGATCCGGTGGCGGCCCCGCAAGTCCGCCGAGTCCCCTCCGCCGCCACGGACGCCGCCGACCTGCATCGCCGTCCGACGAGCGGGAGAGGGTTGGTGCGATCCGGTGAGGCGCAAACTAACTGGCACAGAGGAAGCGTGACTGCGTGAGTGGGTTGGGGAAGCGAGCAGACGGAGAGGAAGAAGACGAGGAACTGTCACGGAATGCGGGTGGCCACTGGCCAGACCAGAAAGGTTCTGCCTTTTTTTGGTTAATTAACGAGAGAGGTTTGGGACCTGACACTGGAGGGTTTATTCTAACAGCTGTACTAGACCAAGTGACCAACTCCCACTCTGTTATCCTGTCCGTTTCTTCCTCCAATTCTTCCTTTCCAGTTTTCATTTTTTCAAAACGATATACTAATTAAAACGTTCTTCTATACTCTATTATACAACAACAACACCACCAATAACACCAACAACAATAATAATAAAGAGCCAAAAAATTTCTATTTTTTTGATGTGGCCTTCCTAACTACTCCTAAAATATAGGTCCCGTTCGCTGGTCTAAAACTTGGCTGAAACTGGCTGGTTTTGTGAGAGAGACACTGTAGCGGCCGGTTGATGAACAATGTTTTGTGAGGAGGAGCAGCCGGCTGGTCTGAAAAAATCAGACCAGCGAACGCAGCCATAGTGCATTCTGGTATTTGGATTTTGTCCTCAAATATAATGCATTCGGAGAACAAGAAGATAATGTTTACTTAAATAAAAATACATGATTACTTTGTACAAGGAAAGTGACTCATGTACTTGCCATATTTTGTATAAGGAGACTAAGAGTTCATCTTTAATCATGTGAAATAGAATCAGATTTCAATACATTAGGAAGGTAAATGAGGGTACATACATGTATTTCACTCTCTCTTATTTTGTCTTAGAATAGCCAAAATACACTGTATTTCAGGACAGAGAGAGTAACTCCATGAATGTAGAAACTATCTCTGATTGTATCTGTCCATAGCCCTCCTGCTTAGTTTGGATGGTTAGGAATCCTAATCCACCTCTTTGACTATTTGATATGGCTTCCCAGTAACATGAATAGGAATCCTAATCCAAATAACGTTTTTAATTTCCGTGTCTATTTTAGAACTTGGGAAGAGATCGCTAGTAAGGCTCTACTGTCGCACTATTTGTGCCAACATATATCTAAGGTTTGTTGATCTCTTGGTAAGGTTTGATATTATATGACTTCCACCAGGTTACTGGCGAACACTCCGCCTAAGGTGGCGGACGCTCCGCGGCTTGCGGAATATTCCGGAGAACGTTCCGTCATGTTGGCACTTAGGCGTTTCTAGACTCCAGAGTTCTCAATGGACGGCCTGCGTTTAATTGTTGAACTCTCTGCTAGGTTTAGGTCGTGCTCGGCTTTTCTGTGTCTAGATCTATCAATTGACGGATAGTCTATGGGTTATGACGAACGTTCCGGTAGGAGCTGGGTATTCTCGGGTACTTGATAACTGACCTCTATAAATTGGCGGGCGCTCCCCTGGGACTCGCGGACACTCCGCTATTCCACTTGGGAAGGGTTTAGGTGCCTTGGTTGAGGAATTCGGTTAGGTGAAGGTGTTGGCGGATACTCCGCATGGTGTGACGGATCCTCCGCCAGTAGGGCGACATAACCTATGTCCTTAGTTGTTGGTTTGGGATAAAACCTAATTTGGGGTTTGGGTTTTTCATGCATGTGCAAGGTAACTCTAGGATTCGGGTGTGCTCTTACTAGGCTTGGGATAGCTTGGGTTTTGTACCTAAAGGATCAAGTGCAATTATGGTTTCATGCATCACCAAATCATGATAGAGATGAACAAATCTTGAGATTGGTCAAAGGAGAACTTAGCTCTGAGAATAGTGACCATAGGGCCACTTATAGCACAGATAAGGGCTTGCACATCCTTGGATTCCAACTTGAAGAGATTAGAGTGATCATCCTTGGCATTCCTTTGTGATAGTGAGGAAATAATCACACTCCATATTCCATCCATGCATGAGAGATTCGGAGTTAGGGTTTGAGATAATTTCAAGAAAAACTTGAAAGGAGAGCTCATGAGCTAACCATGGCTAGGGGTTGAGATGAAGATGCTCATAAGCTTGAGGGAGGGTTGATCTTGTGGCCATGGCTCCACTTCATCTTCCACTTCTCTCTCTAGTTCTTCCTTGCTTTCCTTTTCTTGAGAGAGAGGATGAGAAGGAAGTTGAGCTGGATCTATTGTAGTGTACTTCCATTTCATGCATATGACAAAGTGGGGTCCACAAAGGAGTGGAGGACAGCTCACTTCCCACTCACTGATGTTGTTCAGTTAGCTAGCGGATGGTCCGTAGGCTTTGGCGGATGATCCGCTAGTTGTTAGACTTGTCTCGTTCTTTGGCTAGTCTCCTTAGATGTAAACATCATCCATGCCTCTGGGAAAGGTTAACGATATTGACATTGGTTGGTGAATCTTATATCTTACTTCCCGATCAAAGCATCGGGGATATCCATAGGAGCACAACTAACCATCTTCTAGTACTCACTTTAGAAAGTTTTCAATTGGAACGACCGTAGGTCGTTACAATGATGCCGAGGAGCGGGTCAGATTCGACAGCACCGACGGTGAACAACACCAACATGATGATGAGCGGGTCGGACCCGGAGCAAGCGAGGTAGCCGTGAAGCTACGACGGTGTGTTCGCGGTTAGTGATGGGCGGATATAGATGGGGACCAGCGGGAAACGCGAGAATGGCGTTTAGGTCTGATGGGCGAACGACGGCGCCAGTCATTCGGCGTGCGGCGGATGATGGCGGGGTCGGATCCAGAGCAAATGTGCGGAGGGGGAAGGGTGTCGAGGGCTGAGGGCCAGATGACGGCGATGAAGGGGGGCGGCACGGACGGTGCGGCCGCGGCTCACGCCGTGAGGAGGAAAGCGTCGGTGAGAGCGAGCGCAAACCCTAAGTGCCAAGATGGGGAAGGGAATGAGAGAGGGAGAGGAAATTAGGCATGGCGTGGGGGCACTTGTAGGTCAACCGAACGGATGCAGTTGGGCTACTGAACGGCTAGGCTGATTAGCCCAAGCAGAAGCAGCCTAACCGGCTGGAACACAGCAGCCGAACAGAGTAATCATCTATATATAGAGAGCTTCCATTGTGGGATTGTATTCAATACAACTCCCTCTTGTATCAATTTCATGCGCATAGGATGTTTTTGTAAAAGCACCATTCATGTGTAAGTTCCAAAGAAACACATCCTTGCCCTCTGTAAGATCCGCCGGTGGCACTATTTTGGAAACCATATGGAGCCAAGCAAACAAATTAGGTTTTCCCAACCCTCTTCTAAAAGACACATTAAGTGGTGCAGATCATAGAACATTTGCCACCGTGTCATCCTTTTTCCTCACAATCCTATAAAAAGAGTTGGATATACGTTCTTAAGCATTTTATCGCCCAATCAAGAGTCCTCCCAAAATGCGATATGATTCCCATTTGGCAGTCGAAAAGAGCCACAGCCCACGAGCCAAGAATTCAACCTTAACTTTCATGATCTCCGACAAAAAATGTGAGTCACCTGGCATAAATATTTTAAGTGAATAATTGCACGACTAGTGTGTGCGGCCATTGTGCTTCACTGGTGAGGCTGTTCTACCAGGGTTATAATTTTGCTATCATCATGGCGGATTTACAAACCGTTTTTTGGAAAAAAAAATTTATGATAGGTTGAATCTAAATTCAAGATTTAAAATCCATTGACAAAGATGGTTGGATAAAAATAGAGCAACCTCGGTGGCTATTTCACCGATGCATGGATGAAGTCTTCGGCTCTCCCACTAGCTACCTGCATCCCAGATGCTAGCTAGCATAGTCCACATGTCATGGATGCCGCAGGTGCGCACGGGGTTCGCGTGCAGATGGTCGCGTTCGCTATTTAAGCAACCCCTGAGTCCACTCCAACAAGCAAATCCACCGCACACTCCAACAAGCAAATCCACAACACAGACCCTTTAGCCACCAACCTGTGGTGGCGCTACGTACAATGAAGTGCAAGACCGGCCTAGTCGACCGCCCCCTCAACGAGGTGAAGAGGATGGTGGAGGAGTACCATGTGGCACTGGTGAAGATCGACGGCACCGTGCTCAGCGTCGTCAAGGTGGTAGCCGTTGCCGGCGAGGTCGCCCGGGTGCAGGTGGTACTAGACGAATCCACACGACCCAGCCTAGAGTGCTCTAGCATCTTCTTATTAGCGGACTATTAGCTAAGATCTAATTTAGATCCTCTAGTTAATAATTAGTAGTATTTAGTTTGTGAAAATAAGTTAATAACTTACGAACTTACTTAACTTAGTTGGTTATATTTTTGTGGTGGAACCGATCCACTTTGATTTAAATTCTTAATTTGGTTTGGATGTTTGTATTTTTCTAAATTGTTTTAAGATTTAACACGATGTGTTTTATAGCTACTAATTTTAGTTCGACTATTAGTTAGAGTGTTTTTATCTCTAATACTAATTTTAACAGCTATTTTTCTTGAATTGAGTTGGATATATCTATAAGATATCGACATAAAGGCCCATGTTTGGTAGAGTTCTAGCTCTAGGAAATCTAAAATTTTCTACAGCTGGTCATCTACTCTAGGAAATCCAAGATCTGGAGCTGCAGACTCCCTAGAACACTAATTTGGAAAACCCGAGACCAGCTCACTACTCACTGTAACTCTCACACTAAATTATCCTACTAGCACTAAGGTACAAGTGGAGCTCTCTACTTCTTAGAGTGGCGTTCATGTCTTGGAAGTGAGGGGGTATCCTCTATTTATAGTAGTTGAAATGGGCCCATGGATCCAAGTCCTTTGCACCCCATCTCTTGGATCAAACCGTCCTATCATCAAGGGTGGAGATCAACCAAATATGTGGTTGTTTACATGTTGACAAGAGGAAGGCGGTGGAGCTCTAGGGAGGAATCCAATGGTCGAGCGACCCATAGGGGTGTCGGCCGACCCTTGCCCTATAGGCCCTTCTTCTAGAGGAAAGCTTGGTCCACCTGTCATTTGTTGTTTTCCACTGGGT